AACAAGCGTAATAGCGCCAAATCGAGTGCTAGGGCGAAGCAATGGCGCATGCAGGATTGCCATGTTCCCGAATCGGCAATTGACCACGCGACAGCCGTTGCTCAGAACAGCCACCAACGTGTACAAACCAGTCGTCGTACTGACATGCAGCTTGCAGGGCATTATCGCGGAGATGGCGACAGAGATGGGGTTGCTGGCAGCAGCGTCCGCGAGATGCACCGGATGGTTCACACATGCGAACTGCAAAGCTGGAGAGGCTAGACCCCCCGGGCGGGCCCACACTTCCAGGGCACGGACACCGAGTAACGTCACTGGTAGATTCAGGACGAGATTCGCAGCAAATCCACACTCAGCACTTCCGACGCGCTTTTCCACCCACACTCCTGCGTGTCTACTTATCAGTGGCCCATCATTGCTGCACACCCCCGTCACACAGCGTTAACACTGCAATTGTTATCTTGATCCACGCGCTTTCCCGTAATGGCCTCAAATCCGTCTGGCCCTGCTGGCCCCGACGCCGGCACGGCTGCCACCTCCAGCGGCCCTTCGTATGCGGCAGCTGCAGCCGCTCCACCTAAGAAGAAGAAGACGCATCGCGGTGGTAAGAAGCGCAAAAACAGGAGACAGAGTTTTGCAGCTGGAGCCGATCTCGCGCAAGGCGACTCCATGATGGAGGAGCGCCCGAGTCTGGCCAATGTCGCCAGCCATGGGCAGTCGCGAGGGAGCAACGGCTTCTACCGCACCCACAGCAACCTCAGCAACACAAGCCTCGAGAGCGAGGCTCTGCTGGACCACCGCGAGCAGCCCACCATTCGGACGCGTCGTCCTAGCGTGCCTGTAACGTCCATGTACCAGCCGAGGGCAAGTCAGCCCAGCGTCAGCACCCCCCAGCGGCTTCAAGCCGCAAACTCCTACGGCCGCTCACGCCTGTCGCATACTCCCGAGGAGCACTACAGTGATGGCGAAGACGATGCGGATGATAGAACGCCACTCATGGGTTCGTCTCAACGCGACATCAGGACATCCACCAGCTATGGCTCCAACAACGGCAAGCCTCGCCGAGGAAGCAAGAACTCCGCAAAGAGCTTCAAGCACATGCCCATGCCAGAACACAGGCCGGATCTGTTCACTCAACACCACCACTCTACAACCAACCTCGACGACTACGACGTAAACAACCCCCCATCCGTACCTACGAGCCCAGCCTTCGAGGCTAGTAGCGGTCTAGACGATGTCATGCTCCCGACAGACTTGGATCACATGTCCGACCCAGGAAGGTCCAACAGTGCATCCCGAGACGCACTTATTAACATCGATGAGGCCGCCCATTCAGGCACTCCACCTACTCCTGGCGACTTCACACGCCGCATGACTGGTTCTGCGCTTGAAGATGTCTGCTTCCCCCACGAAGACATGTCTGAGATGGGACACGAAGATTACATGAACGCCCCCACGACCGGTGAGCCTACCACTCGCCGAAGACGGCGCCGCTGGCCCGATCTCGACGTTCTACAAGCTTGGGCACACGAGGAGAAGGAACAACGGACAATTGAAGGCATGCGCATGCGCAAGGTTAGCGAACCGCTTATGGTTGAAGGACGCCTCCGTCCGAAACGACGCGTCTGGCATCGCGAGGACAGCGACGCTCCCTATCGTTTCACCTACTTCAACGAGACGTTTGACAACACCATTCACAGCCAGAGCATCAGCGAACTCTTGCAACCTGGGCAGAGCTTCAGGAATCTCTTCGTTCCTGATCCACCGATCCTGGACGACGACAGCGATTCTTCCGACACAGAAGATGACATGCTGCATGCTGGCCCCAACGGCGGCTACTCCTCACGCACAACAACGCGTTCGACTTCGAAGGCCGAGGGCAAGTACTCTTCTGGAGAACAGACGCGCTCAACAACCCCGCGTCCAACGGATGCAGGAAAACCCGACAAGCCCAATGGCGAAAAACCGAAGCGGTTTGGCCCACGGCCTGCCTGGTGGTTGGATGTCATGTCCCCCACAGAGACTGAGATGAAGGTCATTTCTAAGACGTTTGGCATACATCCATTGACCTCGGAAGACATCCTCATGCAAGAGCAACGCGAAAAGGTCGAGCTGTTCAAGCACTACTACTTCATCAACTACCGTACCTTTGAGCAAGATGAGAACAGCGAGGACTACCTGGAGCCCGTCAACCTGTATGTTGTTGTGTTCAGAGAAGGCGTAATAAGCTTCCACTTCTCTATGACACCGCATCCTGCCAACGTCCGCCGCCGTATTCGCCAACTTTCTGACTACCTTGTATTGTCACCTGACTGGATCTCTTATGCCATCATTGACGATGTCACGGATGCGTACGCGCCTATGATCCAGAAGATCGAAGAAGAGGTTGATGATATCGATGAGGCTATATTGCGACTTCATTCGAGCGAAGAAGAACAGGAAGCAGAGAAGGAGAAATCGTACAGCTACAACAACCCGCACTACAAAGAGCCTCCCGAGATCAAGTCACAGCAAGAAACCGGCCGAGACATGTTGCGACGTGTGGGTGAATGCAGAAAGAAGGTTATGAGCCTCTACCGCTTGCTTGGTAACAAGGCCGATGTCATCAAGGGTTTCGCGAAGCGATGCAACGAGCAGTGGGATATTGCACCTCGCAACGAGATTGGCATGTATCTTGGAGATATCCAGGATCATATCGTCACCATGACAGGCAACCTGAGTCATTACGAGAAGTAAGTTGATCCCGGCACTGCTATAGACCACAAACTAATCAGCCTCCCAGTCTCCTCTCTCGTGCTCACAGCAACTACCTTGCCCAGATCAACATCAGGATGAACGAACGTCAAGAGAAGACGTCTGATATTCTTGGCAAGCTTACTGTGCTCGGAACGATCGTCCTGCCAATGAACGTTGTGACCGGTATCTGGGGTATGAACTGGTGAGTCAAAATACGTATGACCCTGAGCGAACGATAAGCTAACCAAGCCCAGTCTCGTCCCTGGCCAAGATATCGAGAACCTCAACTGGTTCTGGTGCATTACTGGAGGCCTCATCACCTTCGGTCTTATGTGCTACTTCATTGCGAAGAGGGTGTACGGAATCGTTTGATCACACCCAAAAGAAAAGCATAGAGTGCCATTTGGTTGAGAGAACACATCGTATCGCGTGGCGTTGGCGGTCGGGTTTCGCTTGCGTTGAGTCGTCCCTGGTTTGAGTTGGACCAAGACAGTACACATGTTTGCTTTTGTACCACTACTACATATCGGAGTCGGGCATGTTGTTCGACTAGTTAATGACAGTTGTTTGATTTCTAACCGTCAGTGTGCTCTGCTGACTCGCTTTCGTATGTTATTTCCGCACAGTGATACCGATGTTTGCGCAGTCATCTGGCCCCCAGTGTCGCCCCTCTTTGAAACACAGACGGGAGGCCACGTACAGTGAGTGTTATCGCCCAGCCGTGTTTACCGGCAGCTATGCGTCTCCGGTGAGCGAGAGAGAACAGTGGGTATTCGCCGGGACGTCGCTTCGTTTCATACAGTCACTCCAGGTGGTGAGTCGCTGGGAAGCTGAGACATGTCCAATAGCGATAATGTGGCTTGTTTCGGCAGTGGTGTGGTCACTATGGGAGGACAGATCTACTGGACTAAGAGGCGGAGTCTCACGGTGCGGGTCGTGGGAAGGATGCAGATGGTGGTGAGGGTGTGCACTGGGTTCTTAAGGCAGTGCTTTGGACGTCTGCATGGTGCAGCCTGTTGGATACTATCCCGATCTTCACGGTACTCTGATGCACGTCTCAATCGATCGAAGTAGGTCAGACACAGTGCACTTGCAGCGAGGGTCTGGCTTGTAGTATGCATGCCCGCGATGTGTTCAGTACGTTGGGCAGGTGCTGCTCCGTCACGATGCAAAGGTTCCGGCGAGTTCACGGTCGTGGAAAAACTCTTCAACGGTCTCATCGATGTACTTTTCTGTCGATCGCGTCAAGAACATGCTTCTTGCGAGGCGTTCTATGCGAGGTGGGCAGGGTGACCCTGGGAGTATTGGGTTGCTTCACTTTTGGGCTTTGCGTGCGGTGACGCAGGAAGGTTCTTGTCTTGCAGCTTGGTGCCAGGTTGGGCCCAAGTTCTCTCTTCGCCGCTGTGCCGTTGATGGAGTCACCAGGCAGCCGGCAGCGATGGGGAAGGGGCAGTCAGCGGCGTGAGTCGTTGTCAGCCGCAGAAGCACCGTCCACATGCTCGAGCGCTCACCGCATGCGGGGCTATGCGCATAGGTGATGGCGCAATGTCCGGTGAGTTCTTGGTGCCCACAAAAAGAAACTTCTAGCGAATGTGACAGCTTGCAGGTAATGGTTCGCATAATGTGCGATGCGCGCGCTCCCGTCGTGGCTCGATGTAGGGCTGCGACGGCGCGGTGTGCCCATCTGGCTGCGAAGAGGGTACCTAGGTAAGGCAGACAGACTTCGCGCAGATAGGCACTGCCCGACGGCGCCCGTATGTATTTAGACACTGGAGACGCGGTGTTGAAACACATGGTCCAGCGCGCGGTCGGTTGAGGTGGTGCGATTGGTTTGACGTCATCGGCCTCAGGGTACCTCTTGCCTTCTGGGCAGGCCAGAATCAAGTCTTCTGACGGGGTCCGCTATTCCTGACACTTGACGTCGTCTGCCCTACTCGCGTTCACCCTCTTATTACCCCACCTCGTTTGCTATCGCAGTCTGCGAGTATTGCGCATCCCCAACGATAGTGAGCGTGTTGATCAACACTCTCGCCAATCACCCAGCCCCGCCGGCTCGCGATCGACGCCTGCGAGTACCCGCCCTCGCTCAGCCGTTCACAGTCACGCCTAGCAGCGAGTCACCACGACTGGCTACGTAGGCGAGCACCCGCCGCCAGAGTCTACAAACATCCCCTATCCTCTGCTCCCCTCCTGCATTGCATTGCGCGCACTTCCGAGCCACTGCAACTTACCCCTCCGTTTCTCTTTCCACGACTCCACGCCGCACCATGTCGGTCATCTACAAGAGGAGCGAGCGCGACCGCGAGTGGGACACCACGTCCACGCGCACTGGTGCCACTGGCTACACCACGGTGCGGCGCTACAAGGTGCCCGATCACAGCCTCGAGGAAGACACGTACGAGACCGAGATGCGCATGGTTCACCGCGGCCGCGACGACTTCGACGACCGTCGCTCTGTCAAGGACTATCATATCGAGCGCCATGAAGCGCCCGCTCCCCAACGAGAAGTGAGACACTACCACTACGCCGAACGTGAGCGCGAAGTCTCGCCCATGCGTTCCGAGTATCGCATTCAGCGCGAATACGAGCGCTCCCCCTCACCTGCGCGCACCGAGATCCGCATTTCCCGGGACTACGACCGCGAGCGCGAGATCTTCCCGCGGGAGCAGCCCTATGAGTTGGAGAAGTACTCGAGGTCTACTGAGTATTTCCGCCCCGAGCCGCTGCCCCAACCCCCACCACCCCAGCCCCAGTCCATCTACATCCGCAATGAGGCCCCCCAGCCCCAGCAGATGCCACCCATGCAGATGCAGATGCAGCCTATTATTATCCGGGAGGAAGCCCCTCAACCCATCATCATCCGCGAGCGCGTCCAAGAGCCATCCTACGAGCTTGTTGAACGTACTGAAGAAGACAGACAGGTTGCTCGTCCGCAGCGCCACGAGGAAGATTACTACTACGAGCGCAGAGTGAAGGAGATCGATCGCGGCGGTCGCTACGATGAGCGATACGCTGACGAGCGTGAATATGACCACCGATGGGGAGGTAAGAACTACTACAGCGACGACGACATCTATATCCACAAGGAGAAGGATACCTGGGGCGGAAGTGAGACCCGCACCAAACGTGATGTTGCTGCAGGCGCTCTTGCCGGAGTTGCTGCAGGACAAATCATCAGGCATCACCGCAAGAGAAAGGGTGAAGCCGCTGGAGGCAACATAGGAAATGCCCTTGGCTACGGCACGCTTGGTGCCGTGAGTGCTGTGGCTCTCGATAGATTTAACAACCGTGACAGATCCCGGTCTGTTTCTTCTGATCGTGGCAGAGGCAGCCGCCGTGCCAAATCTCGCCACCGCAGCAAGTCGAGGGTGAAGGAGCTGGGCACGCTTGCCGCACTTGCCGGTGTTGGAGCCCTCGCCTACGCTGCCGGACAGAGGAACAAGAACAAGGTGGTCAAAGAGGAGACGGTTACGGTCATAGAAGATCGGCACCGAAGCAGGTCACGTCATGGAGGTAGATCGCGTTCTAGGAAGAGCCGAAGAAGATCCAGGTCCGCCTCAGTGGCTGATGACAGGGGTAGGTCTCGTAGCACGAGCAAACACCTAGACCCTGAGCATCGCAACAACAGAGCAGCGCAAGTTGGCCTTGCCTCTGCTGCTGTAGCCGGTCTTGCGGCACGCAGCCGTAGCAAGTCTCGAAAGCGCAAGGGCAAGCGCTCACCTAGCCGGATCCGACAGGGTGTTCCGATTGCTGCCGCTGGTGTTGCCGGCGCAGCTGTCACTGGACTTTATGAGAAACGCAAGGCTAAGAAGGAGGCTAGGGCGGCATCGCGGTCCAAGTCAAGGTCGCGCTCAAGGTCCAGGTCAGTCCTCTCCCGCCTTACCGGACGCAACCGCAGCAGACGTGGAAGTACAGTGAGTGAACCTGTTTTAGTAGAGTACGGCGATGATCCGGTGTACACCGATCGTGCCAGTAGTCGCAGTCGAAGCCGGGACCGCAGCCGCGCGCACCGTAGACGGCGAGGAAGCTCTTCTTCCTCTGGTGGTCGACGTGGAAGCCGGAGCCGGAGCCGGAGCAAGAGTCGATCACGGAAGGTCGCGGAGACGGCGGCGGTCGCCGGTGTAGCTGGTCTGGCTGCCCATGAAGCAGCGAAGCGGCGCGACCGTAAGAAGGCCGAAAAGGAAGCCGAACGACGACGTGAGTCCACCCCACGCCCACACCGCAATTAGCATACTCAACATCACCAGGCGAGGAGGATTCAGCCTACTCCACAGGCACCTACAGCCCCTATGATAGCCCCACGCCCACCGATGTCTCCACCTCCACTGCCCATCCTAACGACTCTCGCTACTTCCCTGAGACGAACTACTTCCCCCCTCCCCCTAGTGCTCCAGTAGACCCCAACCCCAACCTCAACTTCAATCCCAACACCAACAACCCTTATCCTCCGTATAACCCAGCAGACTTCCCTCCGCCTCCTCAGAGCGCATATGAGCCCAACCATCCCTCACATTTTGTCAACCCACCACACGACGACTTGCATCTCGGCAACCCATATGCACCCCAGCATCAACAACAACACGAACCCTACTACGGCCAGCCACGACGTGGGGGTGACAATGTGAGTGCTCCAGTCCCTGATGGCGGTAAAGAGCACCATAACTTTGCGTCTTCGCGTGGTGGGTGGAGGCCGCTGCCTGCCCATGAATCTGAACAATTCGCTAATACCAGAACAGGGCCCGTAGACGACCCGCCTAGCCCGAGTCCGTCCCCGGAAGAAGATAAGAGCGTCCATTTCGACTTGAACCCACAAGAACGAGAGATACCCTCCCGAGAGGCCTCACGGTCACGGGAGTCTTCATCCGATTCCGATTCCGAAAGGCAACACAGACATCGAGATGATCACAGTCACAAGCGACACAGGCGACGCAGGGATGACGAACGATCGGATGCTACAAGAGAGTCTGGCAGGGCCCGGAAAAGGCGTCACCGCTCTGAAAGCCCCGGGTCAGATACCTCTGATGCTACCATTGAACTTCCACCCCGCTTCGACGAGAAGGGGCGGCAGCAGCCTGAGGACCCACTGGCGGAGAAGTTGGAGAGTATTCTGCAAAACATCTTTCGATAGCGTCTCCTGCTTTGTTGATTCTCTCTTTCTTTTGAGTTATATCTTTTCGTTTCACAGAGGCACTTAATACATGTTTCTTGGAGTTTTTTTACTGTGTTCAGGCGTTTCGAGATGGGTTGGATCATGAGAACGAAGTTACGATATCACTGCATTGAGTTGTATTCCTGTAATTATGCGTAATACTTTTTCCTTGGTACACTCTATTATGAAATGTTATGTTTTTAATGTTTGCAAGACTGCCTCGACTGCCTGTGTTCTATCGTGACTTCCTGTCTTGGAAGAGTACGAAAACAGAGGTGAAGGTGGCCATGGATCGCACCTTCCTTGTTACACCTCAGGGTCGCCGCAGCTGCTCCTTCTGTAGACGTCCCAGCTTGGCATTTCGATAAACTTCACCCTCACCCTCACTCCCTCCTCTCTTTAACCACTCCTTCCCCCGCTGCCGCATCGATCCCTCACATCCCTTCGCACCTGTTTCGCTCAATTCTCAACAACATGATTGCGCCACGCTGCTTCTCGGTCTATGCCGCGCTATTGACGGTTCTCGCAACAGCAGCACTTTCTGCTACTGATGACTCGCCCTTTCCGTGCACTGGGTAAGCTGGCAGACTCACATTCTGCACAGTCACCAAATCTAATGCGCGCAGTGGTTCTATCTACTTCACCGGCCATACGGTCGATAGCCTGCTCTTCCAGAACCCAGATCTCTACCACGACCTATATGTTTTCAAATGCGTCACTACGGTCGTCTTCACAGCGGATAGCGGTGGTGAAGTAGCCAACAATACTCGGGTGCAGGAGATGGAGCGCGGTCTCGAAGATGCCTACAGTTTCATGTCCGACGTGGCTTCTGTTAGGCCGGATGGCACGCAGTCCATCTCTTCTTCGAACGAGGAAGCGCCACGTAAGGCGCCACAAGAGACCCTCATACTGCACAACGAGACTAACCAGTATACCACAGTTGCCAATGAGACCACGGTCCAGATCGGCAAACACACTATCGTCTCTTCTTCACTACTCGGCCTATCGAACGCACAGATTCTCTACCTTCGTCTCCCGGACAGTACATACTTCGGGGAAGGGTACAAGGCGTACAGCGAGGAGTCGCTCAAGAAGTTGTACAGCGCAGACATATCGGAGATTACCACTACCGACGGCAAGGCCACGTACACGATCGACGATCTGAAGGACATCATCGCGACCATTCTTCGCGATCGCCGAGCCAACCAAATTCGCGTGATGAACTACCAGTCGGCTCTTTCCACTGACAACGATGACGATCAGCTCGATCATGCTGACCGAATCGTCTCTGCTAAGCTTGTGATGGATGTCGTGGAAGAGGAGGAGATCGGTGGGAATGTCACGGCGTGAGTTTAGTTCTACGTTCGCTGGAAGACAAGCATGCTAACGCCGCCAGATATGCATGCGACTCATTGCGTATCCTGTCAACCAACAACCTCGAAACCCCGGACTACATTAAGAAGGTCGATGCATTCTTCGAGTACGCTAAGCGTGATCCCGACATGGTAAGTTGAAGACGCACTGCACAGTTTTGTGTGCATGAAGGAGCTCACTGCTAACTAGACTCAGTGCCAGAGTCTCGACGAGTGTGGTCAGCGGCGCCAGAACATCAAAGATCCCTCCAAGGTCAAGTATAACGAGGTAGATCACGTCGCCAACTTCCTGAAGCGGGAGTACTACATCCGAATAGACACCGATGTCTGATACGGGAACATGTACTAGTACAGAATCTAGCCAGGGATAACATGAGAAACTTTCTTCCATGATGGAGAGATAATTGTGGTGGATTGTGAGATGCTACTTAGGATAGATATCACAAAAGGAATGAAGTCATATGCCCACTGCGCCCTCAACACCTCCAATGCAAAACAAGAAAAGCTCACGCCTCATCCTTCTTCCAGCCCGTCTTACGTTTAGTGTCAAATTCAGACGGACTCAGCCTTCGTGCGTTAGGCTCTTGCCCAGGAGACCTCGGCGGCGAAACATCCTTCTTCTCCTCCTCTTCTGCTTCCCACGCCCTCTGCCTCTCCAACTTTGCCTTCAAAACAGGATCCATGCCCTCCATGCCCGATGGCTTGCGCTGCGGTACAGGCGGCGGCGGCTTCCTGCTCTCGCTCGTCCTCCTCAATCCTGCCCTCGAGTCCATGGCGACGGGCATGACAGGCGGGATCTGGCCCCTAACCTCCCTCACAACAGGGACATCAGAAGCCGCGATGGCGCCACCGAGACGTGCGAATGGTGCCGGGCTCGTGGGCGACATGGGTATTCCAGAGGTTGTTGGCGTTCCGGGGATCTCTTGCGAGGGGTGCATAGGGGCACGACGGCTGCCTATCATCATGTGACCATACGTTTGATCGCCAACAGCGGGGAGAGAGTAGTTAATTTCTTTTGGTGCAGGCTTGGGTGCTGGAGGGGGGCGGGGTGCAGATTTGCTGACGGCGGGTTTGGGGGCTGGGGCTGGGGGCGCAGGTGGTGTGGCGGGTGGTGATGGTGGTGCTGCGGTCCTTGATCGGAGCTGTGGGAGAGTGAGGTTAGCTGCTGCTGTGGACGTGGTGCAACACGTGAACTTACTAGTTCCTCTCGGTACTTCTTCTCTTGCTCCCATCTTTCAGACTCCCTCAAAGCTCGCTGCAGCTCTTCCTCCTCCTCTCTCTTCTTCCGTTCTGCTTCTTCTCTGGACTTTTGGATCATCAAATCCAGATCCCGTTGTTCTTTGGCCAGTCGGTCGAGCTCCGCCTTTCTCTGCCTCTCGATTTCTTCCTCTTCTGCTATTCTCTTCTCATAATCCCTCCGGCGTCGCTCAAGAGCTTCCTCATCCTCTGCGATCTTCGCCATCTTCTTCTCATGCTCTCTGCGTTTTCTTAGCATCTCCTGTTCCTTTTCAGCCATCTCTCTCTCGTGGTCCCTAAGTCTTCTCGCAATGGCTTCTTCATCGGCTTCTTTCTTGGCCTGCCGCCGCCTTTCGTCCGCTTCCCTACGGTCTCTCTCCATAGCTTCCTCATCGTCCCGCCGTCTTTGCTCCACTTCCCGGCGGCGCTTCTCCATAGCTTCTTCGTCGGCTTTTTGTCTCGCCCGACGTCGTTGTTCTTCTTCCCGGCGGCGTTTCTCCGTAGCTTCTTCTTCGGCCTTCTGATCCGCTCGGCGTCTTTCTTCGTCTTCCCTGCGACTTCTCTCCCTGGCCTCTTCTTCAGCTCGCTGCTTTCTGTCCGCTTCCCGGCGGGCTCTGTCCCTGGCTTCTTCGTCCGCCTTTTGCTGAGCCCGTCGTCTTTCTTCCTCCTGCCGGCGGTTCTTCTCTCTAAGTTCTTCCTGCCCACGGCGTAATGCTTCTGCGGCTTCTTCGTTTTCTCGGCGTTTGTGTTCTCTTTCTTTTTCCAAGTCACGGCGCATGGCGGCTTCTTCGTTGTCGCGGAGACATCTATTGCAAATTCCGTTTTGGTCTCTGGTTTTTACGGTGCAGCGATCTTTGGTCCTCGGATTGTCACGGTCACACTGTACGGTGGTCCTTTGGTAGTAGGAGCAGTCGCGAGATTCGACATAATCATCAATTTTGTGACCGCATTCAAGTATCGTGATTGTGTACTTGCACATGCTGGGCGAATATGTGGGTGAGCCACGAGACGAACGCGAGTGCAGGTCGGCAGCGTAGTAGTGGGGTAGAGGGAAGGGCCGTTGAAGGAGATCAGGAAATGCTATGATAGCAGCAACTGATACTTATATGGCGCAGATGTTGACCGCCCCCATAAACTAGTGAAGTGCTGCATGAGTGATGTACACGTACACGTAGTGGCATCATATGACTCTGAAACATGGCTGGAAGAAGCGGCGGGTGTTGTAAGCCTGTGAAGATACCGAATTGACAGTGCAAACATTAGTACAACTCATCAAACGGCAAGCCAGCCTGCGTCCGCGCAGAGCGCCGTCAATGAGGCGAACAGCGGCCGATTGGTCAGACACCATGGCTAGGGTATCTTTCCACCTACGGCGGCACAGAGGGAAGAATCCTATGCGTCTCTCAGTCCACCGACTGCTACTCCTAAGGATGCAATGTCGCGAGGTGCCCCCAGCGTGTGTGTTAGCAGACCCACAGTTCCATCAGACGTGGTTGACCGCCGTAGGCGCATTCCACGAGCATCGATGCGGCTCTGTACCGAGCCATTTTTTGCGCAGAAACTAATACGGGACGTTGCCAACAAAGGAATCCGCAGGCTAGACTGCCGCGGATGCCAGAGAAAAATGAAGCTTCCGCAGTGCGCAGCAGCGACGAAACGCACGAGGACGGTGTCGGTGGGGATAGCTACGTGGCGGCCTCGACTGTACTGGGCATGGCTCGCTGCAGCAAAGGCGGTAATGTGTTTCAAGCAGCGAAGGTCGTGGATCCATGTAGCTACGGGAGAACGGCGATCAGGTAATGCTATCGATCACGCACACGAAGCGATGCTTGGGATGACCTGAACTATGCGGAGAAGGAGTGAGGAAGCGTCGAAGGTATAACGGAGTGGAGATGTTGGATGTGGCCAATCAGAGGCGGCTGATTGCAACGACCCCTGCACATTTACTTGGCGCTTCGGATGAGCTTCATCGTTGACATCTTCAATCGACGCCATCGCCTCCAGCCCGCAGCACAACCCACCATGGCCTCAAGACTCGTCCCCCTCGCATGCAGGATTGCCCCACGGGCCTCGCGACAGTTCCAGAGGGCTCAATGGCGGGCTTTCAGCGTTTCGCGACCGTCATGGAACGAGAGCGGCTCGCTCAACGTTGTATGTATTTGATTCATCTTGCGCTGGAAGCCGAGCTAATACGCCTGTAGCACCGCGACACGCCTCAAAACAACCTCAAAATTCCCTTCAAATTTACACCACAAAATGAGGAACTCATCCAAGAGATCGTCTCCCGATACCCCTCCCAATACAAGAAGGCTGCCGTGATGCCGCTCCTCGACCTCGGACAGCGCCAGCACGGATTCTGCAGCATCAGCGTCATGAACGAGGTTGCGCGGATACTGGAGATGCCACCAATGCGTGTATACGAGGTTGCGACTTTCTACACCATGTACAACCGGGACCCCGTGGGCAAGTTCCACGTCCAGGTCTGCACAACTGTGAGTAGACACTGTACTTGAATTTGAGGGCAGCTGCTGACAGAATCAAGACCCCATGCATGCTTTGCGACAGTGACTCCGTTATGAAGGCTTGCGAAGACGTATTGGGCGTGCACCACGGCGAGACCACCTCAGACGGCCTCTTCACATTCTCCGAGGTCGAATGCCTTGGTGCATGTGCGAACGCGCCCATGGTCCAGATCAACGACGACTACTACGAGGACCTCACATACGACTCGACAGTCAACCTGCTCAAGGCCCTCAAGGCAGCCGAACAATCTACCGGTGCGCAGCCTGGAGGCAAGGGTCTGGCATCGGGCAAGGGATCGCTGAATGTAGAGGCCGGTGCCGGTGAGGCTCTCACCAACGAGCAGGGACGCCAATACGCGGCTGGCGGCCTCAAGCTGCCATCGCCAGGACCATTGAGTGGAAGGAAGAGCTGCGAGCCAGCTGCTGGATTGACTTGCTTGACAAGCGAGCCCTGGGGTAACGAGACTCTGCGGAAGGACGGCGAGCTATAGAGGGTCTTTGTAAATACTGTAACATTTTCCCTTGCATTCGGAGTAAAGATCTTGGGGTTGATCTCCCTGTAGACCATCTCAAATGTCACACTAGTTCAACTATTTACGTGTCCAGGTTTTACATGTGACACCTTGCTAATCACTTCAACGCGCAATTCACATCCAGGCACCAAACGCTTCTAGGTCAGCGACTCACTGCTCAGTTTGTATGACGACTGCCAGACACGTAGGATACTGTTTATCTATCTCCATATCCTGCTTCCATCCTGGTCACACCATCACTCCATGATCTCAACAGAAATCCAGCAATCACCAAAACCAACATCATGCACTTCTCCATCAAATCCGTCGCTATACTAGCATGCCTCCTCGCCTTAGTCACCGCGAGTACAGCCCTTAACCAGATCTCCCCTACAACACTATCAATCCTCCCTTTGCGCTCCATCACCAACACAGACCAAGACCCCACACCGACAGACGTCACCACAGCCGCCAAGAAACCGTGCACTATATGTATCGACAAGCTCAACACATGTCACAACGTAAGTAATCCTCACCCCTCTCCTACACACGAAAACTTATTCACTGGCCGATACTAGAAGGGAAAGAAGGACTGGGAATACTGCCGCCATGAGCAGTGTATGAACTCGTGGAACTTTTGCCGAGGGTGCAAGGGCATGTAAGTATCGACATTCTCACTTCAAAGGGAAAATGTGGATTGGCGCTGACGGAGAATAGTACTTGTCCTGAACGTGAGGGACGTCTTGATGAGGCCTCTGAATGACGGGTTTCTGTCCGCGCATGGGTGATATGAGGACAGGGAATGACGTGCGTCGATTCGGCGAAACACAATCACTCTTGTACACTCAAGCATCAGCATTGATGTGAAGCAGTTCCATTATCCCCGGTTCCCCAGTGGCACCATGAAACTATCTATGTTGTACAAGCCATGCCAAATCATGTACGCGTAGCAGACTCGAATATGCTTCTATGTATGATGCATGACCGCTCGTTCTTTTTCGACTCTTGAGAAGAGGAAGAAGGAAAAGTTGCATGCAATGCTGTGCAACTTGCAAGGACTAAAACCCAGTCAAACGCCTTCGCTATATCCATGGGAGGTCGTTCCCAAATCAGACCCCCAGGCCGTGATGATCCTTCCCAAATGCAATGCTCGTGTGTTGTATCAATCGCTTTCGTTGACGTTATACAATGCCACCTGTTGTCGGTGAACGGTTTCGTGTATCTTTCTTCCCGTCGGAAGAGCGCTCGTAATGTAAAGTGTCTTGTCGATTTCTTCTGCCGTAGTCCGTTTCGACGATGGTGAAGTTGGGACTGTCTGTCTTACAAGAAGCCCGAGTTCCCCTTGCCCATGAGCAGGTCTCGTGTCATCTCGAAGCTGAGCCAACTACTAGCCATGCTAGGCGCGACCTTGAGAAGGTTGGGCACAATACCCTTGTACAGACCCCGGAAGCCTTCTGTCTTGATGATCTGCTTTATGGCGTCGCCGATTCCTGCGTACTGGTATCCCATACCGCTCATAGTGTTGATCTGGAATCTCCGCCGCAGAACATCGAATGGGTAGGTGATGGTCTGCGCAACAGCACCGGAGACGGCACCAGCACCTAATTTGCCGATGGCACCCGGGTCTTTCTGACCCTCGCGTGTAAACTTGGTACGGGCGATCTCGTACACCATGAAGTTAAGGCCAACATACGGTGCGACACCAGCCACTGTGGGAAGGATGCCACGGTATAGCGCCGGGAAACCGCCCTCGGTCTTGTACATAGTTACAAGCAGTGCCCACATGCCCGGTAGCTTCTGGCCAGCCTCCTTCTTGAGATCGGAGAACGATGCGGACTGGATGGATAGGCGTGTTCGGACGATATCGAGTGGGTAGGTAAACGTGACGGAGGTGATACCAGCAAGACCACCACAGAGTAGTCGCTGGTAGGCATCGAGAGGGGCACCTGGTTCGCTCTCGAAGAACTAAGGCAAGTTAGCTATGAAACTTTGGGACATACCATGGCCGTCGTCGTCTTTGCAGAAACCTCCGCATCCTTGTATACCTCCTCCCGGCTCACTTTGACCTTTCCATCGGCGAAGCTTCGGATCCTTCCCCACTTACCGCCCTCTCTCTTTCGTCCGCCCTTACCTCGTCCCATCCACCCCAATGTTTGAAAAGCAAGTCGCTCGCCGGAATCAAGAACACGCTGAACAGAAGAGAAATAGACGTACCCGCTTGTAGACGTTGTATGCGCTGAACTGTACGGCCGAGTATGGTACAATCCGTATGCAGTTGGTACCGTTTCCGGCCATGAATCCTCTCCACCCCTCTTCCCTCCACATCTTAGCCAGAGCCTTGGGTACGGACATCTTGTATTCCTCGCGACCAACGCTCTGGACTTGGAATAGAATCTTGAGGCGTTCGAGGGGCGATACGACGGTTCGTGAAACCGCGCCAGCTACGCCGCCGGCGACGAAGGAAGCCAGGACTGGCTGCGCAAAAACCTGGCGAACGCGCTGGAGACTAGTGATGTCGGGCGTGCCGAGGGGCTGCGATGAGGGGTCAATTGATGTCCTGCGACTAGGGATTTCACCTTGACTCACTTTTATGCCCTTGCCCGGTTCGTCGCTCATGATGGCGGGCGGTTGCGATTGCGGCTTCTCGGATGGTTTCGACATGACGCTGTTTGGCGTTGCTCTAAACGCGGCGCTGTTGCTCTAAAAAGCAGGATATTGTTGTCCGAGCGGAGACAAGTTCTATCGACGGAAAGAAAAGGTCGCGCGACGTAGTGTCGAGGTCATCGGAAAATGGTGTTGCGGAGGTGAAGACAGATTTCCGGCCGTACGAGGTGAGCAGGACTTGTCGATGAGCGGTGAATTCGATCTTCCATGCAAGGCAGCTTTCAAGTGAGTGTTTGTGTGTGTAGTCGCGCGTGTGTCATGGGCGTCGCTCCTCGGTAGGGTTGTCGTGTTTGGATCGTCTCTGGTAGCGGAGATTTGAGGATACCGCGGGAGGAAGGAGCGAATTTTAGTCTAGCGCCACGAATCGACGAATGCCATCAGCCATGCTTATAACAACCACGGTCCTCGCTGACGGCCCGGGTACTCGCGATCTGATACTTGGCTCTGGTTGACACCTGTCGTCTCCCTCCGGCATCAGCCCCTTGACGGGGCTGACTGCGAGCCGCCATGATTCGACGCGCATCATGGCAACACGTCAGGGGAACACCAGGGCAGATGCACGCAAACTGGCGTTGCGCCTCAGTCACCCCTTACTAGACGACGCAGTCAGCTGCGCACTGTCACTCCTTCTGCGTCAGCCGTTGTTGGAAACACTATAAGATGCTGTTTAGAGTTCTGCTGCTCATGATCTCGATAGACTGCATCTGTCTTGGATGGGTGTCGTCACATGCGGAATGGTACCGCCCGGGCTCTCCATCACCAGATACTGCGAATGCATCCAAAACGTACGCACCGATGAGCACACGACCCCACACCCAACTGAGATCGCGTGCTCACTAGACTCTGGAGGACAGCGGGGTACAAACGTCGGCCGTGGACGTTGACACATCGTAATCGTAGATTCGGCGTTCCGAGGTTGAAGACGATAATATCTCGGAGATGACCTCGCATCTCCAGTCCAAGATGAGGAGCTATCGCGAACACAGTGATTGTTTTTCAAGTCAAGCCTAGGTCGCTTGCAGCATGTAGTTTCCCTGGTCATCGTCCCTTCTGTTACTTGTGAAGGACGTGCCTAGGGTGACATGCTAGAAGTCGTTGACGTACCTGCGTTATCGATAAGAATATATAAGTTCTGCGAAGGCGAAAGCGACGCACAACCGTTGCGCCTTCCCTATGCTATCACGTCGTGTATTTCAGCAGCTCACAGATAGCTTGCTACTGGAGTCTTCACATCATCCAGTAGCGCCAATATGTTTTGCCTTGAGATACGCGACTCGTGACTCTCACCAATCCAGTCACAGGCTCTCAGATCGGCGTGCATCCTCATCTTCAACAAGATGGAAGTCACGCCAAGGCAGGGACTTCTTCTCCAAAGAAGCCAAAGTACAAGGCTTGAAGAGTCGCGCTGCGTTCAAACTGCTTGAAGTGATTGCGCCTCGGTCTGAAACTGCGCACTGACTAACGTACTACAGCTTAACACCAAGCACAAGCTTTTCCAACCCGGACAGACTGTCGTCGATCTAGTATGTTGTCGCCTTTATTGAAAGCATGCTGCTAAATGACCCCAGGGTTTTGCACCAGGATCATGGTCTCAGGTTCGCCAGATATTTCTACACAAACTACAGTCTCTTAATGTCTCCAGGTTGCTGCAGATCGCACTGCTCCAGAGGGTCGTGTCATAGGTATTGACCTGATACCCGCACAACCCCCGCGAGGTGTCTCCACCATACAAGGCGACTTTCTATCACCTGTAATCCAGGACGAGGTTCGAGCCTATGTGCGAGATCCGGACCTGGGCAGACCCAAAAGACAGGTTTCTGCTAAAGCCAGCGAGGGACTTACTGAAGAAGAGCTGGACGACATCGAACGAGGATATATTGACATCGAACGACATGCTCATCTGGAGGGCGTAGAACTCGAACCGATCGGGCGCCCAGCAGAGACCAGTGACAGCGAACGAAATGCTCCAACTAGGCTCTCGTTGAAGGAGAGGGATATGCAGCAGGGCAGAGCAGTAGACGTGGTGCTCAGCGACATGTCAGAACCCTGGGACCAAACGGCCGGCTTCTACAAGAAGAGCCTTAGTGACCCATATTTTAGGATGATGAACACCAGCGGAAATGCTTTCAGAGACCACGCCGGCAGTATGGTGGGTAGTCCGCCGATCACTCTTGATTTTACTAAATTTCGTAGGACTTGTGCATGGCCGCCCTGACATTCGCTTTCGATACGCTCAAGACTGGCGGCCACTTCCTCTGCAAGTACTACAAAGGGTCGGAGGAGAAGGCATTCGAGACAAAGCTGAAGCGTCTCTTCGCCAAGGTGTACAGGGAGAAGCCGGAATCCTCTCGCGCTGTAGGCTTTTCCGCACAGTGGATGTTCCACGCTGACTGGCTCCAGGAATCTAAAGAGGCGTACTTTGTGGCACTGCGCCGCAAAGAGACACCGACGAAGGAGGAGGTCTTTGGAGAATAATCAGGGAGACACCGCCTTACGAAGTGCTTATTACTACTGAATCTCTGCATCTTACTTCGGCCCGAGAGGTGCAGATCCCAAGGAGCTCTTGAGCACGTTTTGCTATTGAGACAAGGACTATACTCGTCGGCGCCCACATTCCGACGTCATGCAGCCACATGGATGTATCACACACACCGAAGGAGCGTTGAGAGGTTAGATCCCGGTTAAGAAACCCATCCACACACCGCGTGATGAGCTAGAGCTCGCTTAGAAGTGGCAGCATGGGAGCCTATGATGTAGTTACACTCGATTGCCAAGCTCAACTTGAATACAACGTGGCGTTTTCAGAAGTACATGAGAGAAATAGGTACCAAGTGCGTGCGTGCGTCCGTCCTGGAGGATGAGGGCGCGTGCTGCCTCGAGGTCCCTCGATGCCAACATGGCCGAGTCTTCCCAAGAGTCAGTCACATGGCATATGCAGGTGGCGGCGGTTCATCTAGTTGGCGGATAAGAGCCTCAGACCCGGTATTAATGGCAGGCCGTGGTACCTGGTGACGGATCTGGAAGCGTCTCGTCCCATGTTCGGGAGATATGTCAAGCATTTTTGTGGGCCCATGTGACAGGGATGCTGGAGGTGTGAGGTTGCTTAAGGCACTGCATTAGGACATGCTTGCACGCTGGTCCAGTAGGGCGTCATGCAGGATTTGATGTATTCTGGATTTCCTTTGACGATGTTGGGTGCGCTCGTGAGGACGCGGTCGCGCGGGAACAAAGAGGGCGAGGACGGCCAACTTGACTCGCTCGGCTGGCCTGAGCTGGGGTTGCAAAGCTTCTAGAGCCGAAACCCAAGCTTATCACGAACCGCACGTTTTCTCCCATCAACGGATCAACCCACCGATCAATCTAAACCGAGTTGTGCGACGTGGCCAATGAGTGCCGAACATGGATTTCAATAACCCTAATGCGTATGGCGGCCAGTTCGCCAATTCCCCGCAACACGCCCAATTCGATGCACAGGCGCGGCTCCAGCAGCAAGCCAACCCACATGGGCAGTACGGGCAGTCCCCGTCGTTCCCGGGCATGGGTGGCGCCATGGGGAGCAATGGCATTCAGCCAGGAGCCCCGTATCTCCAGCAGCGAGGTAAGCCAGTGACGTGCGCGTTTCTTGTCCTGTCCTATCGCCGCCCGTGGGCGCGTTCCTGGCAGCCTGGCTGACATGACACCATGGAGCAGCCGCCATGCAACAGGCGCAACAACAGCAGGCGCAACAGCAGCAGCAGCAACAACACCAGCTGTCGTCGCCGAGCCCCTACTCGAACGCGCCCTATGCGCAGACGATGCCCTCGCCTGCCCACCACCAGTTTGCCCAGAACCGCCAGACGGCCTCCCCTGCCAGCACCACTGGCCAGGCACCCTATGCGACACCGCAGCCACAGCCCTCGCCCAGCATGCAGACCAACGGCCAGCAGACCCCCATGAACCTCCAGCTGCCCGTCAAGGCGGAGCCGCCCCAGGTCCCGACGCCCGTTAAGCAGGTGCCCCCATCGCCAGTGTCGCCCGCCAACCCGGCGCGTAATGCAGACCGCGTCGCAACCCTCCTCGACATCAACAGCATCCTCATCAAAGAAGTTTGCGAGCTCCAGACGCAGGGCAAGGCGGGCCAAGTCGGGCCCACGCCAGAAGGGAAGCCCGAAGGCGACAAACCGCAGCCATCCAAGGAATACGTCGAGTGAGTGCTGCGCATCCCTTGCGCGACGTCAGCTAACAACCCCAGCTACATGCGCCGCCTCCAGGCAAACCTCGCCTACCTCGCGCAGAATGCGGAGAAGGTGCCCAAGCCTGGACAACAAATACAACCGGGGCCCGCCATCATGTCGATACCCGCCTCACCCGCCGAGCTCGTCAAGCTATATACCAAACTGCAGGAGCTGTTCCCAGGATGGAAGGGGCAGACCCCACAAATGAAGCAGTCGCCCGGACCGCAACGGATGAACTCGAATGCGTCACAACCACCGAATAGTGCAGGCCTGCAGCAAAATTGGGGGCAGAATGCGATGCAGCAAGGCATGCAGCAATCACAGCAACAACAACAAACGAAGCAGGAGAACCAATAAGGACGGGATAGCAACCTCCATCGCAGGCGTATGGACGGCGTTACTGTACTTTTATACCTCGTGTAAGATTGGCGTAGGCAACATGTGCTTGTCATGGGTGTTTCAAGAGATGCGCACAATATCTGGATATTCAGGACTTGTGAAAACCATCATCGTTAGGCACAAGCAGTCCAGTCGAAAGAGCGTTATCGATAGGCGATTGGCACTGGATACATTTCTATAATTCGGAATTCAAGATTGGTTGATACAGGCAGCTGCTGTCGCAAGAAATATGGCTAACGAGACACTGCCAAATCGGAAGTCACCAGAGAATCTGCATGGCGTCATGACGGCTGGTTTGGTACAGCACACGTGGGATGACAAAGCACGCTTCCAAGGCTTCGTCATAGGATGCTCTCAGTCGCGCCTTCCTCTTGACACCCCCAATCTGCATCTTTCCGAACGGCAACGCATGGCAAACGTACCTCTGACATCCATGGATCTACTACAGTGTTAACGCTAGGCTAACACCCGGTCGGCTGCGTTTACGAGTGGAGTCGTAGTACGAGACGGATCCAATCACACACAGCCATCTGCTGAATAACGCTTCGTGACGATGTGTAAGGTCGTTAGACCAACGCCAATCTATGAAGGTGGAGGGACATGAACTACGCGCAGTTAGAGCATGCTGACATACCTATCACTAAAGGCATCAACATTATCACTAACTAGATACGAGATACTCATCGTGACCATACATCCAACAGTTCCCTTTGACATATATCTACATGGCAGTCAAAAGTGCCCCATGTATCTCGCTAACTACACCACAAGAGACGACTACCATTTAATTTTATAGCAAAGCGCAATGTCCCCTAGAAGACTGACTTTCCTACTATCTCTGGCCGTCTTAGGTCTCGGCACTTTATCGTCACCTCTCTCTGGTCCCGCCCTTCCTCTCCCAGCCAGAACAGTAGCTCAGCTTCCCACCGTTCCAACCTGGCTGGAAAATATTGCCGTCCGGCCAAATGGCGATCTACTCGTCACCCAACTAGCTCCAGTCCCCATACTCTACACCATCAAGAACCCATCACTAGGAAACGCAACCCTAGAACCCATCTACGAATTCCGTGCCACCAACGTCACCGATCTCCTCGGAATCACAGAAACAGCGCCCGACACCTACGCCATCATCGCTGGAAACGCTACAACCAACTCAACTGGCTACGCCGGCACTTGGTCCGTATGGCAAGCCACCTTTACCTCTGCCAACATCTCCATACCCACGGTTCACAAAATCGCCAACGTACCTCAGGCGAAACTACTCAACGGAGTTGAATCATTGCCATCCGATCCCTCTATTGTCATAATAGTAGATTCTCAATTCGGCCTCCTCTTCCGCTTCGATACCAAGACCGGGACAAGCGAGATCATCGCTGATGGACCAGAACTCAAGCCGTATCCACAACTGCACAATGCTACCGTGGGATTTGGTGCAAATGGTCTCAAGGTCCGTGATGGGTGGGTGTACTTCAGTAATTCGGATCTCATTGCCATATACCGCGTTCCCATCACTTCAAGAGGGTACATACCGCATAGCCCCAAAGGGGGTGTGGAACTATACGCCAATCTGACTGCGGTGGCCGACTTTGTCGATGACTTCACGTTCGGGCCGGATGGCACGTTGTGGGCTGTGAGTAACTACGAGAACACAGTCATTGCTGTGAGTCCAGGTGGGAAGAAGATGGAGGTGGTGGCAGGTGCAAAAGTTTCAGTGACGTTCGCAGGGGACACCGCGGCAGCGTTTGGGAGAACAGATAGGGATCGGGATGTGTTATACGTGAGCACTGCTGGGGGTTTGGCGATGCCTGTCAATGGAAGTGTTGTGGTGCCTGGGAGCATCGTCGCGGTTGATACCAGGGGGTACGCGTGTTAGGAAGGACATGGTTGGCCTTGCAAGACTCCACATGTGTACGTCGCTGTGGCGGTGTCAAGCTGACTGCATAATCTCTATGTAATTAGAACAAGACGTGAGATTAAGATTGATGCATTAGTGCTTCGTCGGGTAGAACAGAGAAGAAGCAACGTCGCAACAGCAGCACTGGGGCTTACGTCAGTGAATGCTTCTCTGCGACCCAACATCACCGCGTCAGCTTTCAGCAAGTCACAGAATGCAAGGGACAGCAATTGAAATCGACAGTCTTCTATTCATCACATGTATCGCTACACCAATCCACCACACCCCCTCAAACACAACTGTAACTAGAAGTTAAACAAAAAAGCAATATGCTGAAGCGATCGTTTTGCATCAGAGTGCGCATACGTTCGTTCTATGCCATCATGTCCCCAGAGAACAAAGCCTGTCCCAAGGATGTACCCAAAAATATACACACACAAACAGAGAAGTCTTTTACCACACAAAAACGCCTAACCCATCCGTCCTGAAAAGAGAACAGAGAGAAGTAGGTGCTTAAGCGGCACCAGCGTAGACTTTGCCAACAGCCGAGAGGCCGCTGCCAGAGTTAAGCTGGTTCTCACCGTCACCGACCATGAACCAGGAGTAACCCTGGACCTTGTCGGAGCCGTCGAGGTAGGCCATGGCGTCCTTGAGGAAGCTGGCGGCTTGCTCCTCGGAGGCGCTGCCGGGGTTGAGACCGAACTCGGTGATCCAGACCTTCTTGCCACCCATGTCGGCGGCCTTCTCGACCTGAGCTTGGAAGCGGTCGATGGTCTGCTCGTCGTAGATGTCGTAGAAGTGGATGTTGGTTGCGTCGACAACGGCGTCGGGGCAGCAGTCGTTGAAGCGGCTAAGCCAGTCGAGACCCATGGGCGCAGGGCCGTTGGTAACGGAGGGTCCGACAATGGTGACCTCGGGGTGGGCGGCCTTGACGGGGTTCATGTATTCCTTCCAGGCGGTGCAGGCGGCTTCGGGGCTCAGGTTGCACTGCGAAGTGTGGTCGCACTCGTTGAATCCCATGACGGCGGTGGAACCCTTCTTGACGGCCGTGTCGACGTTGGCGAGCCACTCGTCGGCGGAAGACTTGCTAGGACCGTGCATCATGGGGACGAAGGAGGTGCCGATGTCGTTGCTCTCAACCTGTCCCCAGTTGTAACCGAAGCCGAACTTGCTGCCGAAGGTGGTGCAGAGGTGAGCCTCGTTGTAGGCGAGACCACGCTTGACGCCACTGTAGCTGTTGCCAGCAGTGGGTGAAGGAGCAGCGGAAGAAGCGACGGAGGTGGCCGACTCGACGGGCTTCTGAGGAGCGGATGCGGTGATCTCGGGGGTCTTGGAGGTCGGGGCCTCAGGAACGGCAGGGTACTCAGCCTTGGAAGACGAAGCAGCAGGAGGAGCGGCGGGGTACTCGGCAGCGGGAGAGGTGGTGGCCTCAGCTACGGGAGTCTCGACGGTGCTCTTAGCAGCGGAGGAAGTAGGCTTCTCGACAGGAGGAACGGCAGGGTACTCAGCGGCCGTGGAGCTTGACTCGGCGACGGGCATGACTGAAGAAGGGACTCCGTATCCAGTACCAGCGGCAGATGAGGTGGGGACAGCAGCACCGCCTCCGGGAGTGACGGTGACAGTGACCTTCTCGGAAGCAGTCACAGTGACGGTTGCGCCACAGACACCAGTGGAGGCATCGGCAGCCTCGACCTGCTTGTTGCCTCCAGCAAGACCGGAAGGCTTCTGGTAGACGGTCTCGTACTGAGTGTAGGTCGAGGTCGAAGTGGTGTCGATGGTGGTAGTCTGTTCACCAGGGTAGGCACCAGTACCGGTAGCCTGAGCCATGGCAGTGGTATTGGAGTTACCCCATCCGTTGACTGGGTAAGCAGCCCTGTGGTGGAACTTCTCGTGCTGGTAGTGGGGAACGGCCGCAACAGCGGAAGCGAGGGCCAAAAGGCCGGTAAACTTGACAGAGGCAGACATGTCGATGTTCGTTGTAGATTGCAGGTTAAGGATGTGCGTTACGCTTGCTTGTAGGGTATCGATCGATGAGTAAAAGCAGATGCGGCTAACCTGAGCGCGAAATCGTTGGACAGTCGAACAATGAACGTGGTAGTCAGAGCGACAAGAGAATGTACCGAGCAGAAATGCTCAAAGGAGTGGCTGGCAACGACCGTGTTTGGTGTGAGTCTGAGGATCAGGTTGTGACAAAAACAACGGGGAGGGCGGGTGATTTTCAACCTGATATATTTTTCGCGGGGAATCCGGGCGCTCGATCCTTTCGCATGCGCCTGGCTAGAACCTTTCACACCTTCAGGCTCTGCGCAAGCGGGTAAGCCAGGGGTTCAGGTGGAAATAACCTACTTGGCCATTCACAGCTCAGAAGAGGCCTGAGCCGCTAAGGTCGTGGTCCGTCTTGATTAGCTACCGCATGGCGCCGTGCGTTTCACGTAGCCGCCACATTCAGGTACACCCGCTCACCGACGCATGCCAGCAGGGGCCGTATACCGTTTGCGTCGGTTTCGGTGTCAGATCTGCTTTTTGCGTCTGCAAGCTGCTCTATCGATAGATATGAAAGTCATCTTGTCAGACATGTCGCCCACGTGAATGTTATCGACGTTCGCTGTATGGTGTGCGTTGGTCCCACATAGTGACAGGACCACAGATCCTTCACAAGTCTTGGTACTCGCGGAATCGTAAGGGGTGGGGCCGGGCGCAAAGACCGCGCGGGTTGATCGAGTATTCTAGACGCAGACGCTCTCATTTCCGAAAGTGTGATCGCCTCTGCGGGAGTCTGACCAGTTCTATCGAGCGATGACGAGGCCCTCATCCCGGCGACCATCGTCTTGTTTGTTGAGCGTTACCGTGTTCGGGCTCGCAACCCAAAGGGGCTGAGGACTGGAGGTAAGCCGAGAGGGCGTATGCGATGCTGACGAGGCTTTCTCGTATCGACGAGTCAACACTGAGGCGGTCCGATGCAAAAATACCAACCGATGTGGCACGGCAGGCACTCCGCGCGCGACCTCGTACTCAGCCGGCTCCCTTGCTCATGCACTTCAGCTCAGCTTAGCACACCTCAATT